GCCTTGGTGAGCATAAGAGACTTCTTTCAAAAACATAAAAAAATTTTCAGACCCCAAACTTTTGAATGGTAGTGTATATCCAAAAGAAGAAACGTAATATTGCAATTGATGAAAAAAAAGTGATTATCAAGAATCCACAACATAATACTCACACTTTTTGGCCGAATAACAACTCTCTCATCATTCTCATGCATACCAGGAATAATTACTGTCATTTTTCTAGGTCCTTTGAAACCCAAAACATTTTTCTCCTGTGTGACAGTAAAGAAAAGAGTAAGTTTTCTTTTTTTCCCAATCAGAACAGAATGTAAAAGATATATACTATCTAAAGAAAAATAAGCACACAGTTAGCATCCTACATAACATATTGCTGCTAGCTCTTGTCGCAGTGTATCTGTTTCTTTAATGAATGGATTCCTTTCTGGATTCTCGCCATTATCATACACAGTGAATTTAGTCCCCAAGACATTTGATCTGAGGAGACAAATTCTATATTTTAGCACGGGCAGAATTACAAACAAATATTTGTGATACACACTTTAATGGTACTGACCTTAGTTTGCCTATGTAGCTGTCAGTATCTCTGGATAAATCGGTAGGATCGATTGATATCAAATAATTCGAAGTTTTGCACTTCTTTCTTTTTCTTCCAGCCATCAGAAAGACCTGCCCATCCGAAACATTGGAGAAGAGAACAATGATATGTTAAGCAATGAAAAAAGACATTATTTCTCATATTTTACTTTATTCACACTTCGGCTAACCCTTTTCCCATCCTCCTTTTCCATGTGGAGGTAATATGTGGGAAAGATGCCTTTCTCCACTCCCCTCCTGTCTCTGGTGATCCTGCACTGAATAGTCACATCTCTTGGAGCAGGACGCATGGCAAACTGTTCCAGATCCTCCAAAGACATCGGAGAGGACTGCACGAGAAAGATAAAACACAGGGTTATTGTATTAATTAAACCAAAAACCATTAAAAGTGTCATTTTCATTACTTGAAATAAAATAAATATCAACTTAAAATAAAATAAAATAATAAAATAAAATCCGAAAAAGCTAAGATTTTAGTTTAAGTACTAAAATAACTAAATCTAAATAAACTAAGAATAAAAAAAGCTGTATGGACAAGGTAAACAAAAACTCAAAAAAAGGGCAAAAACCGAAGCTTTCTAAAGGCCCATTCACACCAATCATGATAACGATAAAGATACCGATAAAGATGTAGTTCTAAAAATCGTTCTCAATATTAAAGAATAGCACATAGTCTACACCACAGCTATAACGATAAAGGCACAAAGAAACGATATCGTTGGAATCATTTTCGGAACGATTTTTTCCAGCTGATGAACGATACAAACATTGACAGCCAATCAGAATCCATCCTGCTATAACGAGCTCGAGAATTTAAAGTGGCAGACACGCGTGCACTAAGAATAAACAGACGATATCGTTCGCTGGTGTGGACGCTAATATCGTTATCTTTATAGTTATCGTTCTTGGTGTGAACGGGGCTTAAAAGCTTTCAAATTAAAATGGAAAGGTAAAACATAAAATCTATTTAAAAATATTAACAAAAATATAATAGTATATCAATGATACTAAAATTATATACACAAAATTACACACACACACACACACACACACACACGTACAACACTAAATGAATGAATTCGTCTATATTTTGACTATGTCTTACTTTTCCCATGTCCAAAGAATCACTGTCGGAGGAAGGCTCTTTATAGTTGGAGTTTAAAGAAGCAATATTGTCATTATTTTTTGCTCCTTTTTTAGACTTCTTTGGTGTTTTTTTAGCTTCCCTCTTCTTGTCCTCCTCCTCTTCGTCCTCTTTTTCTTCCTCACTGTCACTGAGATGACATCTCACTACAAAGACAGAAAACTAATAATAACAATCAGGCCACATCAAACAAAACCATCATTAAACAAAAAAGGTTCATATGGAGACATATATCATTTTTATATCAGGAGATTTGTATACTTGGTTTTAGTTGTTGTTTTTTCTTTGGTGTTGGAGGGATGGGGCTCTTTGTCCAGTCTTTTCTTTCATCCTCACTCTCTGATTCAGGTTTTTTCTCTTCATTAATGTTGATTTCCACAACTGAATCAGTCTGAATTGCTGGAAAATACCACGAGTTGGAATTTTAACAATGCCAATGTCAGGTTATTTCCTATTTATGGATGAGGCACTGGGCTGTGCTGCAGGAAATGGCCTTTAACTTGTATCATGTTTAACAATGGAGACACTTCTCCGGTGCACTTACAAGACTGTTCTTCTGTCCTCACTTTCTCCTTAGATTCCTTTGTCTTATCCTTCTTCTTCACTGGTTTTTGCTCTTTCCCTTCATTTTCCTCCCCTTCTAATGCAGGTTTGGCCTCAAGTACTAGAATGTGTTCAGTTCAACAAAATGCAAAGGCACATCACACTAAGGCAGATACAAAAGTTACAACTGAAAATGGAAAAAAACACTTACATTTTGTTTGCCCCTTTTTCACACCTTTCTTTTTAGTTTTTTTCCCATCTGCTTGGCCTTCTGTGTCTAACGTGCATTTAGCGCTGTGCTGCGGGCTGATCTCTAGATCGATTTTCTTAGTGATGACCGGAACAGAATCAGCTACCTCTTCCGAAGCCTCTTCTGTCCTGGACGAAATGGTCAGTTCTCCTAAACAAATCTCTTCCACCGTGTTTTCATAAATCTGCTCAGGTTGCATGTCTGATAATAAACAGGTAGGTTGTTATTTTCTGTAAAACTAAAAAAAAAATAAGATGACTAATCTAATGACTAATAAACAACAATTACATGTTAACATTGAGGCTCTGGTTTCTATAGAGTAAGTGTTTACGAACCACTGAGGGCAATGTTGCTCTGAGATTGGCTTATCAATAAAGCTGTATCGTCAGACTCAGCTTTCTGTTTGCGTGTCTTGGGACGGATGTCATGATTAGCTGTGATCATCTGGGCATCTGCCCTTCTTCTTTGTTGTTTCTTGATTAAAAGCGAAC